CTTCACGCAGTGCACAGTCAACTTGTGGAACTCCTTACCTGAGAAGGTTGTGAAGGCTAGGACTATAACAGCGTTTAAAAGAGAACTGGATAAATTCATGGAGGTTAAGTCCATTAATGGCTATTAGCCAGGACGGGTAAGGAATGGTGTACCTAGCCTCTGTCTGTCAGAGGATGGAGATGGATGGCAGGAGAGAGATCACTTGATCATTGCCTGTTAGGTTCATTCCCTCTGGGGCACCTGGCATTGGCCACTGTCGGTAGACAGGATACTGGGCTAGATGAACCTTTGGTCTGACCCGGTACGGCCTTTCTTATGTTCTTATGTTATGTAACCAGCATTGCTGGGAGACTCTCTCTCGTCTGTATTTTTTTTTCCTCAGTCCTATTCTCAGGAACATACAATTTGCCAGCCTAGATCAGAACGTGGGTCCATAGAGCTGACTATCCGGTCTCTAGCAAGCGTCAGTGCCTGCGACTTCAGCGTTGAAGTCCCCATGAGACGTCTCATTGGCAATACTAACGGGGCAGTTCCTGATCGCACCCGGGGATCAGCCAGGGACCGGATGGCAGAAAGTCTTTGCAAGCTTAGCCTTTCAACTCAGCAGATCTGAGCTCTGGCCAAGGTCCTACAGAGCCCTGTCTTGCCTGCATCTCCCACCTCCTTTCCACTCACTTGCTTTCCTCTTTCCCAGTGTCCTTCCCTCAAACCCTGTTCCTTCACCAGTCGTCCCTGGGTTCTTCTCCTCCATGCTCTCACCAGGGGCCCGTGCACCTGCACTGCGTGGCTCTGCTGTGTAGGATCTTGGAGGCGGGGACTGGGTCTTATACTTTGTTTTTTATGCACCCTCTCTGAAGGCCGGGGTTCAAATCCCACACACATGATGCAGTTGGGAGGGATTTGGGGGTTCCATCCCCTCCCCCTTCCAGAAACAGCCTCCTGGCAGGCTCAGGGCTGCCCCCCCCAGCCTGCTGCATGCCTGTGTGTGGACATGGGGCGAGCTGGTGGTTGAGTTACTTTGCTGACATATTCCGTGGCTCTTGCTTTCTTTGTGCTTAATTTGCCTGTTGTCAAATGTAGGAGGTGGGCGGGTGCGCGGAACGGAAAATCAAGGCCTTCCACTCGCAAAGGGAGGTCGCCGGAGGTCCTTATGGAGAGGAATTGGGCAGCCACAGGTGTTGGTGGGCTCAGGTGCATTGGCTGAGTGTGGCTGGGGTCAGGACTGCAGGAGCAAGGGTCTGGATTGAGGTGCACGGGCAGAGGGGGCCCAAGGCTGGGCTAACGGGGTATTGCATCAGCACATCTGTGAACATAAGAACGGCCATACCGGGTCAGACCAAAGGTCCACCTAGCCCAGTATCCTGTCTACCGACAGTGGCCAATGCCAGGTGCCCCAGATGGAGTGGACCAACGGGCAATGATCAAGTGATCTCTCTCCTGCCATCCATCTCCACCCTCTGACAAACAGAGGCTAGGGACACCATTCCTTACCCATCCTGGCTAATAGCCATTAATGGACTTAACCTTCATGAAGTTATCCAGTTCTCTTTTAAACGCTGTTATAGTCCTAGCCTTCACAACCTCCTCAGGCAAGGAGTTCCACAAGTTGACTGAGCGCTGCATGAAGAAAGGGAAGGGAGCCCCAGGACTGGAACAGCAGCAGGTCTGACACCTGAGCCCTGCTTGCCTGAGACCTAGAGGGGGGATGAGTGATGGTGCCCAGATAAGCGAGGATGGCGTTTCTCCTTGTAGATGGCACCAGCTCACTTCGGGAGCGATGGTTTTGTTTCCTTACCTGGTTTCTGCAATGGGGCAGAGCTCCAGGGAGAGCTTGGCTTTTCGTTTCCCGTGGGGCTTGGCCTTGCAGAGGAAGAACCAGCTTGCAAATGTGTGGCTCTCGTCTCTTTACTCACATGCCGGTTGCTTCACCCGTCTGCCCGTCACATCTGTGGTTGCTGCTGTAGCAACCCCTGTGATGTCACTGGCCGGGTTCCGAGATCCAGTTGTGATGAAACCAGCAGAGGCTTAAATTGCCCAGGAGGGAGAAAGGCGGGAAGAGAGCAGGAGGGGAAGCTGCCGTAGTGGGAGGAAGAGCCATCACGTTCGAATTGCAATGCGCGGATCTGCAGCCCGTCCAGAGCAAAAGTATTGGTCACCTCTCAGCCAATCAGATAGCACATGCAAATCTCTGCTTGCTGGTTGGCCCGGAGGAATATTTTTCCCCCCCATCCTGGACCTGTAACTTCTTCTCCCATTTGAAACCAGCAAGCTAATGCCTGGTCTACGCGACGCGGTTAGGCTGACGTCAGCTGCTTGTAGAGACGTAAGTGCCTCTCTACACCCGTTTAGTCCCATCACCTCCCCATGCTGCTTACGCGACTGTCACTGGCTTTCAGGGGCCGTCCCCCGATGCCCCACGCTGACAGTCGACTCGATACTGCGCTCCCGGTGAGGGCGCACATCCCGACACAAGGAGCCACGCGTGGACACGCACAAGCAATTGAATAACCGCGGGAGTCGCATGCCGACGGACGTTAGGTTG